TACTTTACGACGTTGGACCTAGCAAATGGTTTCCACCAAATAGAGATGGAACCGGAAGACGTACACAAAACAGCATTTTCCACCGACACAGGACATTACGAGTTCAAACGTATGCCCTTCGGTTTACGAAACGCCCCCGCCTCGTTCCAGAGGGTGATGAACAACGTTCTTCGTGGCCTCCAGAACGAAATATGTTGCGTTTACTTGGATGACGTCATAATATACAGTAAATCACTCCAAGAGCACATAGAACGCTTGAGACTAATATTTGAACGGTTCAGACAATCAAATTTCAAGATTCAATTGGATAAGTCCGAATTTTTACACAAAGAAGTCAATTACCTTGGACATTTAATAACCAAAGAAGGCGTGAAACCCAATCCAGATAAGATAGAAGCTGTAAAAAACTTTCCTATACCCAAAACACCAAAAGATATCAAATCATTTTTAGGACTAGCTGGATACTATAGAAGATTTATAAAGGATTTTGCTAAAATTGCCAAGCCAATGACATTATGTCTTAAGAAAAATGCTAAAGTCGAACATTCCCCAGCATTTTTATCGTCATTCAACCATTTAAAAAATCTTCTAATTAATTCCCCAATCCTTAAATACCCTGATTTCACACAGCCCTTCGTATTAACAACCGATGCTTCTAATACAGCTCTCGGTGCAGTTTTATCTCAATCAACACCCCCCAACGATCATCCCGTGGCGTATGCTTCCCGCACGCTAAATGAAACAGAACAGAGATACTCGACAATTGAAAAAGAATTGCTCGCTATCATCTGGGCATGTAAATACTTTAGGCCGTATTTATTTGGAAGGAAATTTCAAATATATACAGATCACCGACCTTTAGTCTGGCTTTTCAATGTTAAAGAGCCAGGTTCAAAACTTATTCGATGGAGATTAAAGCTTGAAGAATACGACTACACCATTATATATAAAAGCGGCAAACAAAATACAAACGCCGACACTCTTTCAAGAATTCCACTCAACGCTTTAGAAACAGAATCTCTCCTTAATAATCCAGGAGATATTACAACTGACATCGATAAATTTCTAAACGAAATCGATAAAAATCTTCTAGAAAAACATCACACTGACGAATATAACAAAATCATAAACGAACTTAATCGACCGGTTGAATTACCTCCAGTGCCTTCAACTTCTCAAGAGCCTTCAACCTCTCGAATAAAAATTCTTGAAGATATCCGAATTAAACCACCAATGGATAATACGTCCAGTACTGACACTGCTCATAGTACAAACGCAGACGAAACCCTAAATGAAATCCCAATATTAGACGAAATAATTAACAACAAAACGAATCAATTAATTGTGAAAAAATCACCATACGACGCCTACATAAAAAGAGAATTTGAAACCTTTGACGGTAATAGGATAATCCGAGCAACGATTCCCACGAAACAAGAAGCGATAGTAAATTTTCTGAAAGAAAACCTCACAGAGAAAACTACCTATGTGCACTTTTTATCAAAAGAATTACGTGTTTTATTTCAAGAAGCATTATCTAAACACTTTTGTAATTTCAAGCTTGTAGAATGCACAAAACTCATTAATAATGTTAAACCAGAGGAAAGAGAAATGATAATAAGATTTTCACACGAAGGCAAAACTAACCATCGAGGAATACAGGAAACCCTAAAACGCCTGAAAATTAATTATTATTGGAAACCCCTGAAATCTGACGTCACTAAATTTATTAATGGATGTGAAATATGTCAAAGAACTAAGTATAACAGGAATCCACCAGACCAACCTCTTGTATTGACAGAAACACCTTCGAAACCCTTCGAGATTATTCACCTCGATACACTCCTTGTAGATAAACAAAAATTCCTAGTAATTATAGACAAATTTTCCAAATATGGACAAGCCCTTCCTTGCGTTGGCACCGCCATATCAGTATCCCAAAATCTAATCCATTTCTTTTCATTTTTCGGTATCCCTAAATTGATTGTATCCGATAATGGAACAGAATTCAAGAACGAAGTAGTTAAGGATTTATTGAAAACACATAATATTAAAATCCATTTTACTACTCCAAATCATCACGAGTCGAATTCGCCCGTTGAAAGGTTAAATTCAACCCTGATAGAACACATAAGAATACTACGAGAAAAAAACAAAAATACTGACGTATCAACCCTAATGTCCTATGCTGTAATTGCTTATAATAGCACAATCCATTCAAGCACAGGCTTTACTCCCTATACATTGATTTTAGGACACACTTCTTCTAGTGACCCTATGCAACTTATGCCCGCGCAAATATTCACTGAATATGTCCACAATCACAAAACTAACACGGAAGCTTTGTATAACAAAATACAACAAGACTCAATTAATTTAAAACAAAAACTTATTGACAAACATAATCAAAAGAAGACCCCTCAAAAACTAACCATAGGGTGTCAAATATATAAAAAACAAGACAAACGACGTGGTAAATTACACCACAGATTCACAGGTCCATTCATCTTAACAAAAATATTAGAAAACAACAAGATTGAAATTGAAAACCCCAAAACAAATCGAAAAGAGATTTTGCATATCAACGAAACCAAAATCAAATCTATTGTTACAGATGGATCCGAATCTTCAACATCGGAGCAGTAGGAATAAACTTCCATAACCTGAATAAATATCCCGGACTCCTACCTTATAAATTGGGAACTGCCAAAATAGTTTCCAATCATTGGTCATTAATACAAATTCACGACCTAACACCCCTTGTTAACGAATTTTATTTGATCAAAGAAAACGCTAACTATTTAATTAAAAACATTACAAATAATGTATCCTATGAACGAGAATATAAAAACACGTTGCTGCCTTTAATGGCATTAGAAAAACGCATAGAAAACAACATAAGGCAAATTGACCCAACGAGTAGTTACTCAAAAAGACAAAAACGTGGCATCTTGAATCCTTTAGGATCATTAATAAAATGCATTACTGGCAATCTTGATAAAGATGATGCAGATCTTTATGATAGGCAAATTAGACAATTACAAGAAAATCAAGATAAACTTAAAAAATCATCTTTTAATCAAATTAATTTATTAGGGAAAACCATTGAACAGTTTCAAAACGTTATCTCTAATATATCTGCCAATCAAATAACGCTAAAATCGAGAATACTGCAAATTGAAAGCACAATAAAAAAGGTAGCTCTGTCTGCTATTGACAACCATCAATACTTCCAAACTCACATAATAATTAATCAGATATCAATGCTATATCAAACAATTTACGATATCTTAGAAAAAACGGAAGTAGCTATCTCATTTGCTAAAATCAATACGCTCCATAATTCAATAATCGATCCATTAGAGCTAATAAAAGAAATTTGTAGATTTAAAAAACAATTAGTGCATGACGTGTTACCATTAGAAGCCAATATTGATAACATATTGAACTACGAAAAAATAATCGAGATTAAAGGTTATTCAAAGGGCCTGATTATCACCTTCATCTTGGAAATACCATTGGTCGAATCGGATGTCTATCACTATTATCAATTATTTCCGATACCAATTCCAAGCGAACAAAATCCTGATTTCTTTATGAACTTTCCACACAAACCATACCTTGCACTTAGCAACAACAAGTACTCTTATATGGACCAAACCTGCAACCAATTGTTACCCAACGAGTACTTATGTAAAGAAGCCCATACTGCATACATTGATCATGAGCCTCCATGTGCAGTCCAATTGATTTTATACAAAGAAAATGCCACTACTTGCCACCCTTTCCGTATTAGACTACAAAATGTCCAAATCACTAAAATAACGGACGGAAAATGGATAATCACAACGCCCGAACAACTAATTGTCTCAGCATCTTGTCCAAATTCTAAGGACAACGTACCGCTTCATGGTTCCTACTTAGCCGAATCTACAAATGAATGCAGCTTACAAATAAAGTCAATTACTCTACGAACTTATAAGCCCAATCGTTTGACTTATGATGATGTATCCTTGCCTACACTGAATTTATCGATGAATTATTACCAAACAAAGGAGTTTGCTTTTAATCCACCTACACTTGACCTGAACTCCATCAACTTGAAGGAAACCAATGAAATTGCCACAACGCTTCAAGAACAGAAGAGACGACTACAAGAAATATCTAACCCAATGGAAATGCACCAAATAAATTTTTGGACAATTTTACTTTATTGTATTTTAGGAATACTATGCATTTTTACTGTCTATAAATTACTTTTGAAACATCGCCTTAAACGTGCCCAAAAAGCCTCGTTAGAAGACGATATTGTAATTTAACAATTTTACTTTTACTTATTTAGTTTAATCATATTTTTCTTTTAGCATTTTCTTTATTTTTTCCATTGTATAAAACCATACCTTTTTTGGTATGCTTTTAACTTAGGATGGAGGAGTTATATCCCGTGAGAACTCCAATTCAGCATTTATATTGTTCTATTCAGCTTATTTTTAATATTATAAAAGGAGTAATTTCTAGATTTAAGTCAGTTCTATTGTATTAGTCAAATAAAGTTTTTTAAAAACGCTCTCTCGTGTACACCCCTCGTAAGTTATACTTATTATGTAGGAATAGACAAACATTTAGACAGACAAATTTGCTATTTTACTACTTTTCAAATTTTCACTCTGTATGTGCGATGTGGAAACATCACTGTGCAATGTGCAATCACATGCAATGTGTTAAGAGCAGGTATTATTATTATAATTGAATTTCTTTGCAGCTCAATCGATATATAATTAATTTTTATTTGCTCAAATTTTTAATAAGAGACAAAGATTTTAAGTTAGATGTAAGGAAAATATTTTATACCTAGCTTTAGATTTTTAATAAAAGGATTTGTTTTTCTTTTGGTAAAATATTACATTCCTTTTACATCCTAATTCCTTCCAGTGTCAACATGTTTGCCTGCCACACAAAATAAATCCTATATGATTTATAGTCAATGTATCTCCTTTTAGCCAAACAAAGACATGTTTTGCTGGAGATGCCACAAAGACTCAGTGGACATAGCTTGCGAAACTTGCCCTCGAAGTTACCACCGCAGATGTCTTAAACAAGCTGTGCGGAATCCTGATCACTGGCCTTGCCCCGAATGCGTGCTAATCTTGAAAGCTGAAAACAGTCAATCCATGTAAGCATTATTATTTATGATTGTTCAATAATAATTTTATTTGGGTTATTCTTTTCTTATAGGTCTCCAGCTATGAAGGATATGTCTTTGGAGCATCTATGCAGCTTGCTGAAATTTGCCATACAACGGATGATCAAATGTCAAGGAGTAAGTTGATTTAAATTCAACAAAATAAATTTTAATTATCAAATTCGTAGTCTGAGCCCTTTATACATCCAGTCTCCGGAGCTGAATGTCCCGACTACAACAAGTACATAATCCAACCAATGAATCTAACCAGGCTTTCGCAAAACATCAAAGACAACCTATACGGCAGCCCGCAAGCGTTTGAAGCTGACGCCAAGTGGATTTTGCACAACAGCATCATCTTCAATTCAAGTAAGATTGCTTTTAAAAATCGGAACAATAAATGCAATAATACAGGTACAGGTAATGATATGCTTAAAATTTGGGCTTTGAAATTTTGTTGCAAGTGTTTTGATGTAAATAATTCAATTTTCAGGCCAATCTAAGCTGACAAGCCACGCGAAAAGTATTATAAAGATTTGCAAACAAGAAATGGCAGAAATCGAAAACTGCTCCAGCTGCTATTTGAATGCCAACAGTAACAAGGATTGGTTTGTGGATGTTTGTCCCAAGCCTCATTTGTTGGTTTGGGCCAAATTAAGAGGTAACAATAATAATCATTAGGGTCGGTTTCTCAATAGCAAGTAATCTCCAGGGTAAACGTGTCCAAGTTATTTTTAACCTAGGAATGACTTGCTATTGAAGAACTAACCTTAATAATCTACAAAGTCTAATTTGTATTGTGTTTAGGCTTTCCATTTTGGCCTGGAAAAGTGATGAGCTACAAGGACGGTAATGTGGACGTGCGATTTTTTGGGGCCCACGATAGAGCCTGGATACCGGAAGAAGACTGCTATCTTTACAGTTTGAAACAGCCAAACTATTTCCGGTCTAAGAGAAAGGAAATCGATTCTTGTGTCAGAGTATGTAAAATATTTGTCTATTTAATATGTTTTGCCTCAAAGACTCAGAAATATTACCTCAAAATCTCATATTAGCGCATTGAATGGTTTTTGAGTGAAAAATTAAAATATGGAGGCATGTCATGCTCAGAACACTTGGTAGTTTGTTGTTTGTGATTTGTAGGTTGGGTTAGTACACTAGGGAAGTTTGGTAACTGACGAGTAAGAACCACTGTTGGATTAATACTGATTTTTATTAAATAATGATTAACAATTATTTATGTAGTGAGAGCGGCTCGTGAGAAATGCTGGTATTATTTGGTATTTCATATTAAAATTGTGCCACTTCATACACATGTTCCCTAAGTCTATTTTCTTTCTGTTATATTAAATTTTGAACTGGCCTAATATGATAAAATTGATTTCCAGGTCCCCATTGAAACAAAACTGCTCCTATTCTCTCTTGACTAGCATCTGTTTGTAATATAAATGGGCTTTCAAAAATTGGCCTGTGTAATACTAGCGGCTTCTCAAGTGCATTCTTAAGTTGTATAAATGCATTTTCAGCTTTAGGGTTCCAACTAAACACTTTTTTGCCTATAAGTTCAGTAAGTGGTGCAGTCATTGTTGCAGAATTTGGAATGTATTTTCTAAGCCAGTTAGCCGTACAAAGGAATGAATCCAATTATTTCATGATAGTTGGTTTTTTAAATTTTTTTTTATACGAAGTTGATGATGTTCTTGTGGAGAATTGTTTGTACTTGAGATATTGTAACCCAGATAATTTAATTTATTCACTCCAAAATTGCATTTTTTTAAAGAGCATCAAAGTTGGTGTATTCTATGTTTCTCCACAACTAACCCAAGGTGAAATAAATGATCTTCATGATTATTTGAAAGATAATTATATCATTCAAAAGGATTTCTAGCGAGTAACCGTTTGTAACTGTGTTATAAACGGTATTTGAAAATCTCTAACTGTTGAAATTTTAGCGAGATAGCGGTAATAGGGGAAGTTGTTATCAGAGACGTAGCTAAGGCCTCTGGCTTGGGGGGGGGGGAGGTGACGTTCCTAATTTTCTCAACTTTATTAAAACATTAAAAAAAAATCATATGTTAAGAAGTGTACACGTGTTAAGAAGTGAAACCTCTTAAAAACTATTCCCTCCCTCATACAACTTTTAGACTTAGCGCATGAGTCGGGGTATCAAAACTAAAGGTTACACAAAAGACCTGTATTGACATCACAAGGGTATCGGCGCTTGACAATAATAGGCAATCCTTTTTGCTTATAATCCTTGGTTTGTGTCAATCGTTCCTCGTTTGTCATTGGCTCGCTTTCTCCGCCACTCTACAGTCTACGTTATATTTTCCTTCTCTCTCGTCTCTCGTGTAACGAAATGTGCCAAAACGTGACGTTACGTGATGCGTTTTTCGAATCACTCTGCATATTATCATCTAAATATCAGACCGCCGCCTAAAATCGGAATTTCATGTATCCGTTTTCCGACGTCCGATGTCCGAAAAACTTTATTCTATTCTGACATAATCGTATAAAAATATGTCAGAATAGAAGGTTTTTCGGACATCGGAAGTCGGAAAACGCATGCATGAGACTCCAGCTCAAGAAGTTAGGGTGATTTACGTAGCCCATGCATTAGCCTGCAGCGGCCTAATTCTTGAAACAGGGGAGCAGCATTCTCGGGAGAACAAGTATTCCGTCTTTGTTCCTTATATTATCATTTTCATATCATTAAGAAAGACGGAACACTCGTTCTCCTGGGAACGCTGCTCCCCTGTTTCAAGAATAAGAGCACAGGTGGATTAGATGCTATTTCTAATATTCCACCTGCAAACTGGATAACTTCAAATGCACGGGCTACGTAAATCACGGTGTATATTCCAGACCTACAAATAATATAATCAAATAAAATAAACACTGTATAAAAACGTGTATAAGAAAAATGTTTGAAAAAACCAAAAACTATTTCTTCAACTCAAGAGCAAAGGATTCGGAGCTTTGCTGAAATCTGAATAGCGAGCGAAGAATGCGCAGAACGCAAAAAGCAACATAATATAAGAAGTTTGGATTATCTAATATACTGTTATTAGTTATAATAGCTAAATAAACGATTGCAACAACTATCTCTCTCAAACACGACGCACTTGCAACAACAAGCTATAAATTATAACTACGTCGGTCTTTGGTATTGACTTTTGAATAGTGCTAGTGGCGCTCGTGCCACTACTGCCACGAGTACCACGTGCACATGACACGATGATCCTATGTTAATTTTAAGTCCTCGCAAATAAGCTGCGCAAATTTTTGTCTCCCGATTTTTCCCAACTTTAAATTTTTTTTCCAACTTTCGATATATTTTAAGAACTTTTGGGGGGGGGCGTTGCCTCCCCCAACCCACTCCCATGGCTCCGTTCGTGGTTGTTATGATGTCAATAGGGGAAATCAATGACGTCACGCATTTATAATATGGTATTAAATTCTATTATTTCTATATATATAAAGCTAGCAGTAATAAGAGAACTACCTTATTTAAATAGCGCTTTACCTAAACGCTGCTGGAAAAAACAGTTTGTTCACAATCACGAACACGTCAAAATACGGCTGTTCCTTAATTAGGCAATTCAATCCATCTGTCAGATAGGAAAATTCAATATGGCGTGGCGGCCAAGCAAGTTTGTTTTGAATATGTTTTTATGCGTATTTCACATTATTTTGCTTAGAGCTTTGCTTGCAACTTTGATTTGGATTATATAATAAAATATTTGTTGACTAGGTACCTAAACTAATAAATCGGGCAGAATCTAGATATTTTTTTGTGTTTTTTGGCCCATGTGTGGCCGCCACGCCATCTTGAAAGTTACGTGGTTTGAATTGCCTAATAGGGCAATCCAAACAAAATGGTGGTCAATGCATGGCCAATACCAAAAAATTGGCGCCATAAATTTAATTCAAGCAATCGTGAAATTTTTCATCAAAAAACTGTTTTTTGTGTATTTTGTTGTGCTTTTAAAGGATTTTCTAGTGTTTGAGAGGATAATTTTCGTATTCTAAGATGGAAAGTTTTTAGTTTAAGCAATTATTAGTAGAAAAAAGGCATTGGCCTCCATTTTGACAAGTCGTTGGATTGCCCTATTCTATTTCTCACCTTACTTTACTTACTGACACCTTTGCTTTGCTGACAAATTTCAAAAATCCGTCAAAATAAAGGCAAATTATATTATTAGTTTGTGACTTTATTCATGCAGTAATAAAGTCTAGCACAAACGTTAATAAAACTAGCCTCATTCAACGGCACAACTGCGCATGTGCAGATGTCAATATAGCGTTTGCATTATTACTGTTGGACTTTATTTCACTTGTATTAGTTTGGTTTTTGTGAATTTTCAGGAATTAGAACGTCACGTTAAAAATCTAGAGAGAGCGTTCGGCGAGTTCCGTTACGCTCCATTAAAAACCCCTGTGGATCCCGACAACGAGCTCAAACAATTGCAGATTCTTTTGCCCCACTACAAACCGGGCAAGATGTTGAAAAGGCACAGAAAATCAAATGATGGAAAGGCGGAAAAAATTCCTAAAAAGGTGGACAAAGAATCTGATGAAGAGGAAAAAACAAGTAAATCTGATACATCGGTAGAAGATGAGATTATGGAAGGATATGGTAAGAATTATTATACAGATTAAAAAAAGTATTTCAATTCAAAAATTTAAATTTTCAGGTACTGACGACGATACAGTTCCAGAAATCAATACAGAATTCCGTAAAAACTTCCAATCAAAATCTTTCAATGAGGACACTCCAAGTACTTCATTGAACGACTCTATTGAAGCTGAAATACATTTTATAAAAAAACATGCAATTCAAGACAAAGAAAAATCCAATAGCTCAGCAGAGTCCCCTAGTAAAAAGGCCCTTTTTAAAACTACAATTTCCAATGAAAATAACAGTCCAGTGAAGAAAAGCCGTATTGTTTTTCTTTGTGATAATTTGGAACTTGGAAATAAAAGTGTAGAATTGAATCCGACTCAAGTGGAAACAAAGAAGATTCCTGTATCGCCTTCTAGTAAACTTAAAATGGCTGACGTATTGATGAAACGTTTGTCAAATGATGATGAACCAATAGTGGAAAAGGAAATTTTGACTGAAGATATTGAAAAACCTTCAATGGTTGTTGAAGATATTGAAAAACCTCTAATGGTTGTTGAAAAACCTTCAATGGTTGTTGAAAATATTGAAAAACCTTCAATGGTTGTTGAAAAACCTTCAATGGTTATTGGCAATGCTGAAAAAGAGACTGAAAATGCTGTAAAAGAACAGGAGGTTATTGTTGAAGCCACAATATCTGAGAAGATAATAATTGAAAATCCACAAACAGTATTTGACAATACGATATCAAATGAAATAGTGGAAAATGAATCTCCGGCCAAAAATACTGAAAATGTAGATGAGCAAATCGATGTTGCTGAAAAGTCTTCAGAAAATGTAGTGCAATATGCTGAAACTGCTGAAACAAGTGCGGATTTGATTATTGATAGGGTAAGATCTTGTTATTCTATATTTGACAGAACGAAACATATTTTTTTTCCAGCCAAATATACTAAAAATTATCCATTCATCTTTGGATCCATCAGAAACAGTTTTTGCGAAAAAATCTACTCATTTAGAAGATCTGAAGCAAAACAACAAACCCAGAAAAAGCTCAACCTTGGACACAATTATTTATTCATCTTTGGACTCAGAAACAGTAACTGAAAAAGAATCTGTTTCTATCACAAAACCTTCAGAAAATTTGAAGCAAGACAACAAACGCAGAAGAAGCTCAACTTTGGACAAAATTGTCCATTCATCTTTGGACTCAGAAACAGTACCTACAAAAGAATCTGTTCCTATCACAAAACCCTCAGAAAATCTGAAACAAGATAACAAACGCAGAAAAAGCTCAACTTCAGAAAAAAATATCCATTCGGAAATAGCAAAAGAATCTCTACCAGTTAAAATACCCTTAGAAGACCCAAAGCGAGGCAACAAACGCAGAAAAAGCTCAACTTCAGACAATGAAGCTGTAGAATCCCAAAACAAAATCACCAAACTCACTCTAACCCCTTGTAAATCTCCAATACTGAAGTTAAGATTGGAAAAACTAGTAGTGGTTGAAAAACCAATACAAGTTGATAAACCCAACGACAAAGTCACAAGTGAAGAAATTGTAGAAATTACAAACGAAGAAGACTCAGAAGAAACTAATATCGATAAGGAAGAAGTTGACATCAAAACTGAAGTAGAAGATATTAGTGAGGAAAATATTGAAGCCAAAAAACAATATTTGTCTGCCTTAAATATTCTAGAAAAAGGAGACCCACCTCCACCAAAATCAAACGTAAACGTCATAAGGACTCGGTCCAAGACTGAAGAAAAGCGAGAAAAGAATCGAGTAAGTGATAAGTTTAAAAAACAGGTTTAGGTATTATAAATTCAAATTCCAGCTTGTGGACAATATGACTAAAGTAATCGAAGATGTTGTAGTCAATTTTGGTGTTAATAAAATACCAGGATCCCCAGAGATTTCCGTTAAATCTTTTGCCAAACTTGGTAAGTATTGCTTTCCTTAATATTTTCAAAAATCTGAAATCTACTATTTTATAGAAGAACAACGTGCCAGGAAAACTTTCCCCGTTAAGCCAATAGTAATAGAAGATGAACCCGTTTTGACTGTTACTAGCACGGTTGCTTCTCAACCAATAACAACCAACAACGTAATTTCAGTTGTCAATACTACAACTTCTACAGTGCCTGTTATACCTACAGCCATACCTCCATTGCAACCAATAGAATCTTTACGAACCTCTTCAAATGGTTATTTGATTTTACAACCACCAGGCGGAGGAATGGTTTATGTACCCTCCAATCGCAATGTCACTTATAATCAAAGCACCAATCAAATGGTTTCAATGGTAAGTTAAAATAATTAATTATTAATTTGTATTAATTATTTTTGTAGACTCCATGTCTAGTGACTGGCCCTAACAATGCCAACTTGGCTAGCAGGCCTTTGGTATGGTTGCCTCAAATCGAACCTTCAACCCCTGAAATCAATTTGTCGCAAAACTACATTCCGCAAGGAGAAAGTGGCACTGCAACTGACGTTAATAATCCAGTAACTAATAATACTACTGTGGTTAATGGACATCCGGAACCTTTTGTGGTACCACCACCACCACCACCACTACTAGAAACATCTAATAGAGGTAATGTGGTGATCATTAATGCCGAAACTTATTTTTAATATAGATTATTTGAATCTAGAAATTCCGATTGTCGCACAAACTCCAATTATTGTAGCAGCACCAGAGGCTTCAAATGACGCTGTTCCATTGATAGAGCCAGTTTCAACCAGGGAAAATCCACGAGAAGATTTGACTTTGTTGAACAGCATTATGCCAGATAGTCTTAATAGAGCGTTAAGCAATGTAAGACTTTATTTGTCGGATTAATTTGATTTTATTGGCTGGTTGTGTGTTTTAGATTATCAGACGGCCTCCTCCGCAATTGACACCTCGACCTGCTGGCCTTTTGAGTCAGAATTTTAGTAGCCAACCGATTCCAGATTCCGCCGGAGATCTCGTCGCTAAGGTGAATTCGATTGGCCACAACGTAAGTGACAGTTACTTTTTAAAATTTTGTTTTTCTTCATAATAGTCTTTATTTATTTACTACAATATACAACAGAGCAAACTTCAAATAGTATAACTTATAATATACTAAGTCTATATAAAAAAAAAATAAGATAAACTATGCTAAGAGTTAAAATCGTGTCCAATAATGACATCTTGGATGCCTATGTCCATATATTGGAGCTGCAACTTATCTGAGTTAAGAAGTGCTTGGGGAAAATTAATATTTAGTACCAAGGAAATCATAATCAGAAACAAGGGTTTATTATTCTGCTTCCGTCTTTTATATGAGTTTTTATATTGTTAACTATGTTTGCCAAGGTCTTATTTATCTGAAATCAATCTGAACAAGCCACAAGCCAGTATTGATCTCAGCTTTTTTGAATGCAGTTGGAATCGAAATTCATGGGGATATATGTGTTGAAGAGACATATAATACGGTTCATATCACTATTTTTTGCCAATGTCGGTCCTAAGTAAATGTAAGGGAAACCCTATATACCTTCAGACTTAGGATATTTAGCAGTTGCAGACGATTTTGATGTGAAAACTGGCTTTTATCAATTCTGAGTTTATATATATTACCAAAGAATATTATAGATTAACGTCTCTAGAAGAACTGTCCGGCGGCGAAAATATAAACCTGCGTGATGGCGCTAGTGTCCTAGTAAAATCAGTCGTTTCTGCGATTAAATTAATTTGAGGCACTAAATGCACGCGTATTTGCTAGGCTGCGTTGCCAAGTTGTCTTTTGTATAACAAATTAAATGCCTGTGTTTTATATAGGTACTTATTATACATATACCTACCATAGAATAGGAATATTTTATAATTTAAAAAAAATAATAAATAGGTAAATAGTTATGTATTTTTGTGGGTAGTAATTATTTTTGATAACTCGTTTCAAATGATGCTTAGCACTTTTGACAGCCGCTTCCCAAAGGCCACCAAAATTAGGGGCATAAGGTGGTATGAAAACCCAACGAATTTTATCGATACTAGTTCGATCCACAATAGAGTTTTGATTTTTATATAGAAAATTTCCAAAATCTTTTAACTCACTATTTGCTCCAACGAATGTACTGCCGTTATCAGAGTAAATAGTTGAAGGCAAACCTCTTCTCGAAGTGAATCTTTTTAAACACGCTAAGAAACATTCTGTCGTTAAATTAGAAACCACTTCTAAATGAATTGATTTTGTACAAAAACATACAAAGACTGCTAAATAACATTTAATTGGCCTCGCACCTCTACCGGCTTTATTTAGAATAAAAAATGGACCAGCATAATCCAGGCCAATGAAGGCTTTATTCGAATATCTGGCAAACTAGACATAGGCGAAGTTAATGAAGTAGGCTTGAATCTAAAGCAGGTCATGCAATTTTTTACAGTTTTTCTTGCCAAATTGCGACCTCCAATAGTCCAATAAAATTGTCTGATAGAGGCTAGTAATAATTGAGGACCTGGATGTAACAAATATAAATGCTTATTTCGAAAAATTAACTTCGTAAATGAATGTTTCGAAGAAAGTAAAATTGGGTGCTTAGTATCATAAGGTAAATAAGTATTTTTCAGACGACCACCCACACGTATAATACCTTGACTATCAATAAATGGACTAAGGGATGAAAGCTTATGATTTTTTTCTAGAGTTTTATTTTTTGATAATAATTTTAGTTCTGTTACAAATGATTCAGCTTGAGCTAAACGTATTAAAACTTGGTTTGCTGATTCTAATTCATTAACAGTAATTGGACCAGTTTGTAATAGATTTTTAAAATTGCTTCTCTTATTTTTTAAGTTTTTATAAAATCGAATACAAAGAGCTGTAATGCGTCTTAATTTATGTAAATCAGAGAATCTGTCGAATAATTCACAACATGAAACAATAATACTTTGTAAAATAGTGTTAGTTTTTTTCAACTCTGACAATTGATTTTGAGGAAGATAGTAATCGTGAATCGGCCAATGGGAAATGGGACTTTTAAGAAATGAAGGACCTGTCCACCAGAGAGTTGAATGGATTAATTTCTCTGAATTTATACCACGGGAAGCTAGATCAGCAGGATTGTGTTTGGTATTCACATATTTCCAGTCATTTATATTTGTCAATGATTGGATTTTAGCAACTCTATTTGAAACAAATACTTGCAAAACACTCGGTTCTGATTTGATCCAACTTAATGATATTTGCGAATCTGACCACATAAAAATAGGAATAGAATTTGGAATATTTAAAGAATTTTTAACTACTTCCGTTAATTGAGCTCCAAGCAAACTAGCACATAATTCAAGCTTGGGAATGGTGAGACTTTTCAAAGGTGCAACCTTACTTTTTGCACACAATAAATGAACTTCAAAATTGCCATAATTGTCTGCACTTCTCAAATAGACAGCAGATGCATATGCATCTTGTGATGCATCACAAAAACAGTGAATGTCAATCAAACTAAAATTTCTTGGAATAGTATTTCGTGTGATATTGATGGAATTGAAAATCTTTAAATTATTTTGAAATTGATGAAAAGACCTTTCTAGATCTGAAGGAATAGGGCTGTCCCAGGAAATTTTCAATGACCATAAACGCTGAATAATAATTTTTGAAATAACAATAGTAGGACTTAGAAGACCTAATGGGTCATAGATTTGTGCAATGGTAGATAATATAATTCGCTTAGTTATTGGGATTTTGATGGAAGAAACTTCTTTAATTTCATAGGATAAATTATCCGAAATTGGAATCCACTGAATACCCAATGTTTTGAAGCCCTCCTTTGGCCCAAAATTTAAAATTGAATTAGGAATATTATGATCATTTAAATTTGAAATGACCCTATTACCATTTTCTCAAAATAAATTGCGCTGATTTTAGAATAGAAAATATTTGATGGCATTTTAAATTCAATTCCGAAAGAGAATTGGACCCTGACAAAAGATCATCTACGTAGAAGTCCTCTAAAATAGTTTTACATGCCTCTGGAAATTGCTCATAATTTAAAATTGCTAGTTGCTTCAAACATTTTATAGCTAAATAAGGTGCGGAACTGGTGCCGTAAGTAACAGTGTTCAATTGGTAAATGGAGAAATTTTCATTAGAGTCTTCACGCCAAAGAATTTGTTGAAGTGGTCTGTGATCAGGGTGCATTAGAATACAGCGATACATTTTCGCTATATCAGCTGACACAACGTAAACATAAGTCCTGAAACGCAATAAAATACTAACAATGTCATTCTGTACCTTTGGCCCTATATGCTGAAGATCATTGAGGGACCATCCTGAAGAAGAAGAACAACTACCATCAAAAACAACTCTCAATTTGGTAGTCAGACTATCGTCTTTTGAAACTCCATGGTGAGGCAAAAAATAAGAAATAGAATTTGGAATAATTGAATCTTCAGATACCTTGGACATGTGTCCTAGAGACTCATATTCATGAATAAAATCAAAATATGATTTTTTAAACTCAGAATTTAGAAATCTCTTTTCCAATGACAAAAATCTTTTAATAGCAATTTCTTTAGAGTTACCTAACACAAAAGGAGATTGTTTAAGAGGAAATTTCACAACAAATTGACCTTCTCCATTTCTAGAAGTAGTTTCCTGAAAATGATTTTCACAATCAATGTTATCTCTGGATAATATTGAAGGGACTTGGACTTCTTCAATTTCCCAAAACTTTTTTAATTGATCGTCCTCGGCGATATGAATTTTAGAAAAATTGCAAATAGAATTTTCCCAAGAATCAATTGGAGTAATACCTGTTACAATATAGCCGAAACAAGTATTTTGTAAGGTAGGTAAATTTTTACCTAAATGAATTTTACCATCTAAAATTAAATTCCAGAAGATACTAGCTCCTATCAATAAATCAACTTTATTTGCTTTGAAGAAATCAGGATCTGCTAATTGAATTTTTCGAGGAATATTCCAGCTACCAATGTTAAATTGGCATGAAGGAATATTACCTGTTATAATGGGAACAACAAAACAATCAATAAAACAATTGAAACTAGAAGTATTTGAGAATAAAGAAACATTGCATTTTTTCTCAAGTTTAGAAACCACTTGATTAACCCCAATAATAGATAAATTGCTTTTTTCACAGTTTAATTGTAATTTATTACAAAAGTTCTCTGAAATCAAATTGGACTGAGCACCACAATCTAGCAAAGCTCTGCATCGATGAAATCTACCCTGTATATCTTGAACTTGACAAATAATGGTGGATAACAAAACTTGTGATTGTAAATTAATGGATGAATGAATATGCGATTTTTCTTCAGGTTCAACAGACACATTTTTTTGTTGATTATCTTCATTATTATTGGAATTTCTATTATTATAATGCAATAAAGATGAATTGTGTTTAAGAATTCTATTTTTAGACTTGCAAAATCTACATGAAAATAGAACACATTTTTCTTTATTGTGACCTGTACGAAGGCAATTTTCACAAAGATTAAGTCGTTTTACACTGTCTATTCGATCTTTAATTGTTAAGGCTAAAAATTCATCACATTTATAAATGGTATGATTTTTTGTACAAAAATTGCATTTTACAACAGAACGACCTGCCTTTTCTGATGAATTTCCAACAGACAAGTGTATCTGAGATTGGTGTTGATACTGATTTCTTGGATTTTTATTATTATTTCCATTATTCTGAGTGCTGTATTTACTAGCAAATGACTGTTCAAGGGATTGCAAAAGGTCTACCTTGTTTTTAATAAACTCCAAAAATTCATCGAGACTAGGCAACTCATTATTATATTCTAACTCTTTCCATTCCCTCAAGCTAGTCTTATCCAGTTTATTAGAAAGCAAATATATCACCAATGAATCATATAAAATATCAGGCCCTAAATTCATACCCGATATGGCTGTTAAATGGTTTATTATTTGATCCAAAATATAATTAAATTGACTGAAATTCTCTCTATTTACATGAGGGATTTTTAAAAGTAATTGAAAATGTGTGT